ATATTACAAATATACCATATAGAAAATTAATATATACAACAACAATATAGAAAGCGAAGGCAGTAAAGGGAGTTAAATTATCATATTTTTAATAAGTTGCAATAAAACTAATTTATATAATATTTTAATAAGTCAAGGTTGTACGTTGACATCTTATAGGTAGCAACTACCAGTACCATAAAAACAGTACATAACTAACAAGCCAACCCAAGGGAAAAATGAATTTTAAAATTTACATAATTTCAAAAGAAGTCATAAAAAAGAGAAACAGGGCAGTAAAGGACAAAAGAACACCTGAGACAAACAGAAAACAAACAGTGTAATGGTAGTTTGGTTCCTTTCTGAAAATTCCTCCCCACTCACTCTAAGGTATTTTGTAAATGTACTAACAGCTTCAGAGTTGTAAACTGAAAAGCATATAGTTACTTTAATCTTTTAATTAAATTTAAGCAAAAATATTGTACATTCCAATTAAATTCAAGTGACGGTTTAACACTAAATACTTGGAATCATAATATTTGCTGACAGCAAATGTAACTTAAAGGATCAGGATATAATGTAAACTAACTATAAATTTAATCTCACAAAATCTACAATTTTGTCTTTAAAAAACTAATATATTTTAAGTGTTGTTTATGATAGAATTTAGGTCCTTAGGAATTTTATTGCTGTAATGGGGTATTAATACATGAAGATATTGAGCTACTGCTTAAGCAGCACTTGGAAATCAAAGAAGGACTACTTTACAGGGAACCTAATTTTAACCCAAACTTTAAATCACGAGTTAAGCCAGCTTCATCATATCCATTTTAACAGAGACAAATATAGAAAATAAAACAGGCCCTAAGAGATAGCTTGAACCATAGAAGGATCAATTTTAACCTCCTGGTCTATTAAGGAAATCTGAAAAACCAATGCCATTAGTTACAAAAAAAAAAAGAGAGGAAGAGAACTAAAGAATTTAATTAGTGGAGCTGTGGTAGTGCAAGCCTTTAATTCACATTGACCCATTTTATGTTTGGTAATAAATTGCTAAACTTCAAATGTGTATATGTGTACTTACACACACACAATATTTAATTTTATCTTAATAATATATTGGTAGCAGAAAAAGGGCTAGGTTTTGAATCTTTCTATTGACTAGCACAGTATTCTTTCAAAATAGAGCACTCTGTCTGTCCCAACTGCAGCCAAATTATTTCAAAACTTAGGGGTCCTGCCCATGATTCCCTCTGCCAGATTTAACAGTGGAGAAATAGTTAAGCTCTGTGCATCTTTTAACAGCTTCCAGAATCCATTTTCAACTCTTTCCCTATCAAAGTATGACTAGATTCTATAAAAAGATAACACACAACCCAAACGTCCATCTACAGATGAATGGATAAAGAAGATGTGGTACATATATACAATGGAATATTACTCCACCATTAAAAAGAATGAAATAATGCCATTTGCAGCAACATGCATGGAACTGGAGATTATCATACTAAGTGAAGTAAGTCAGAAAAAGACAAATATCACATGCTATCACTTATATGTGGAATCTAAAAAAAAAATGATACAAATGAACTTATTTACAAAACAGAAATAGACTCATAGGCATAGAAAATAATCTTACAGTTACCAAAGGGGAAATCAGGGTGAGAGATAAATTAGGAGCTTGGGATTAGCAAATACAATCCACTATACATAAAATAGATAAACAACAAGGTTTTATTGTATAGCACAGGGAACTATATTCAATATCTTTTAATAACCTAAACTGGAAAAGAATCTGAAAAAGAATAGATACATATACATATGTATATGTGTAACTGACTTGCTTTGCTGTACACTGGAAACTAACACACCATTATAAATCAACTATAGTTCAATAAAAAAAGGTAAAACACAAACAGTAATAATACCCATCTAACAGCACTAAGACCAAACTTTATTGACACCTGTCTTAATTCTCATCACTTTGGCATTCACATAACAAATAGTTAGCATTTTATTACAATGTGCTAATCATTGTTTTGGACCCTGAAAAGTGCTATGAAGGATTTCACGTTCCCCATAAATCTGAGATGCTTATGCCCTAGAAGGAAAAACATCCTTTCATTTGTTCATTCAACAAGTATTCATTGGCCATTAAAAACTAATCAAACATTTTGTTCATTGCTGAGGATTTTGTGGTGGAATTTTTCCTTACTTTTATGATACTTAGAGTCCAGTAGGGAATTAAACATAAAATGATCACAACAATAAATGTAAAATTCATATTATTTGTAATGAACAGTGCAAAGTAAGATAACAAGAAATGCTTGCCTTGAGAGTCTGGGAAAGATTTCATGAGGAAGCAACATTTGAGTTGAGAGCTCAAGGTTAGTTATTTGAAAAGAATCTTCCTAGCAGAGAGGAAAACAGGTAAAGATCATGTTTCCAGAGGAAAGATGATTGGAAAACTCAAAAGAAGGACACAGTGGCAAGGATAAGAGAACATAGCTTAAGAGGATGCTGCAGAGAGATGCAATGAAGAGAACACCTGAGGCTTCCAAGAGCACAATAAAGATTTTGCTTGCTATTCATTCCTAAAAGCAATGAGAATTCACAGAAGGTTGTGAAACGGGAGAATAGCATGATTCTGTGTAAAACAGAGAACTCCTCCCAACTAGCTGTAGAAACAATGGGTTGAAGGATCGCAAGAGTCTAGTAGTTCATTGGAGAGAGAATGCCACTTTAAAATTGATAGCAGCAGTAGAGTTGGGAAAACAGATGGATCTGTGAGAAATTCGAGGTAAAATTGCAGGACTTAGTGATACTTTGGTTATGGGGGAAAGAAGGAAAGGAGCTCTTGGTTTGTGCTTCCAGGGCTGAATGAATTGCAATGGCATACCCTGTGATAGGAAATTCTAGAGAATGTCTGGGGTTGGAAGGGGAAGAAGAACATGATTCCGATTTTGCAAATGTTGGGTTTGAATTACTTTTGAGATACCCAAGTGATGATGTCAGGTGAGCAGGTGAACATCAGGACTGGAGCTTAAGAGAGAGATTGTAATATGAATCTGGAAGACATGAGTATACTAATAGTAACAGGAACTGTGAGTGTGCATAAAAAGTCATGAGGAATCTGAAGATTTACCCCTGAGCCAGTCTAGTTCTAGCCTGAGGAACCAGAGAGGTAGGGCTTAAAGCAGCAACAATGTTGTTAAACACAAGCCAAAGAAGAAGGTAAATTTCAGAGTGCAGTGTCACTGCTGCTGTGTATTCAATAGGACATGACCTAAAACATTATCATTTCACAACACTGGAACTAAAACAGAATTATGCATAAAATGCCATGAGAGCACAGAAAAAGGCTAGCAACTCTGGAAGGAGAAAAGGGTTGGTCAAAAGAAGTGATATTTAAGCTGTGTCTGAGGAATAAATAGGAGTTTCTCACTAAAGCAGTCCAGGGTTAAAACAGCAATATTTGGAGAAGGTATTGCTATTTCTCCAAAAAGGAACAAAAAGTCTTTATTAGGCTGATGAATGTCCAAAAACCTTATTCCCCGCATTCCTAGATCAGTCATCCTAGTCATTTTCTTTCTTTTTTCATCCTAGTCATTTTCAATTTCCCCGTTTCCACATCCCTGCAAGGCAAAGTAGACATCCTCACCTAGCAGTCTAGCCTCTGTCATGTTCTCCAAAGCCCACAAAATTAGAATATGGGGGTTGCGGGAGAGAAAAATAATATTAACCCAGCAACAAAAGTCATATAAAGTCTCAGACTTCGGGACTGGAAGGTAAGGATTACTGATTCTGTAACAGAGTGAATATAAGGTTATATTATCTTTATAATACAAAGATCAAATGAGAAGGCAGGAAAATTAAATAGAAGACAAGAGAACATACAGGAAGATAAAGAATTATTTTCCCTTTCTTGATTGTCAGCAACAGTCTTTGAGTCAGATGACCAGGGCCATCTTTTAAGTAATGAGGAGCAAAGTATCTTTTAGAGAATCCACAAACGCTGAACTCCAATCTGTAGAACTAAAATTACAATGCCACATATTGATACATTGAACTGAAAATACACTAATTATAAAACTATAGAAAAATGGATGCCTAATATTAGAATAGTTGATTTAAAAACACAAATTTAAATTATGTTTACCCACTAAAATATTATACTTAATACAAATTATTATTTTGTACATAGATGAATCAGGAATAAACATTTTTGTATCCAACAAAATTCAAAACAATAATAGCTAAACCCTGAGTCTCCCTCCCTTTTCCCACGTTTTCACATTCACTTAACAATTATCACTGTTATTCCTTTGTGAAACTTTAAATTTTAAGCTCTTTTAAGGGAAAAGTCTATTTCTTTATATAGATGTTCTTCATTTACTTGCCGTTTCCGGTTGAGAGTGCATTAAATCACAAGTATGTGGATACTACTCACTTGCCTAATAATTGTCTTAAAATAGGCTTTCAGGAATCAACATGGGAATACATTTTGGACTGAAATCGCTGTTATTTACCATTTTTCTCCAGCTTGCTCAAGTGTGTTGAAGCATAAATACATTAGGGATAATTAATGATATGACGGATGATTTCATCCCACCGTGTTTTCCCAACCTTCTGTGTTGGCTTTGTTCCTTTTTCCGCCTCATATTCTGACAAATTCGTCGTCTTTGTCACACAATAATCAGGAGAAAACTGAAAAGAAGGGCGCTATCCTCGGAGGAGTGCTGTGTATTATGACTCATCCCTTCCAAGGGAAACACAGAGAAGGAACAGTTTCCTTTAGGCGACCTGCACGTGGCCAAGATAGGGATTTTAGTGGGTCTGAGCTGCAGGGGTGGGTCTGCAATTCACCCCAGAGAGATGATGGGAAACCTTTTAAGGGGTGAGGTTTGACATTACAGAACTGTCGCAGGAAGGGCCCAGGGTGAGAGACTACACAAGAAGGGGAGAGGAGGCCTGGGGGATGACGGAAGAGGGTGGGGACCCCCTGGGCCGCGAGGTGGTACCTGCGCGGGCTCGAACGCCCCTGCCACTGAATCCCCGATCCAGAGATGCTCCCGGAGAAGTTGTTGGTAGCTGAGGCAGTGCTTCACCGCGGATGGCACGTTCCCCATGGCCAGGTCCGGGGCGGCTGTAGGCGATGGGAGAGAGCGGGGAGGAGAGAGATGCGGGCCGGGCGCGCGCTGCGGTCCCGCGCCGGCCCCCGAGCGCGCCTTCCGCCTCCCGCGCGCGCTGAGCCCGGCCCCGCTCTGTGTACTGCAGCGGCGCCAAGCCGAGAGCGCCCAGAGCAGGGCGCGCGGGAGACACCTGCGCGCACGCGGGCCACCCGGAGCCGAAGCGCGGAGGAGATATTCCCAGCATGGCGCGCCTGCCGCTCTGCACCCAGCAAGTAGGGCTGATCGCATCTGCACACGCCCCACTCACCGGCTTCTCACCTGGTTCAGAATCCACAGGGAAGAAAGGGTTAGGTCTCCATCAAAGGAAGAGGGTCTGCGTTTTCTTGTCTGGCAGTTTGCTCATTCCCAGCTTTTGGCGTCCACTGTAGATGCGTCCGGCCTTGAACTCACTTGAGTTTATCTTCATGACAATAAACTTGACATACACACACAGATTTAAAAGATAACCAACAAGGACCTACCGTATAGCGCAGGGAACTCTGCTCAATATTCTGCAATAACCTAAATGGGAAAAGAACTTGAAAAAGAATAGATGCATGTATTCGTACAACTGAATCACTTTTCTATACACCTGAAACTATCACAACATTGCTAATAAACTATACTCCAATATAAAATAAAAATTTAAAAATAAAGACATCAGTCATATTGGCTTAAGGCCCACCCAAACAACCCTTCAAATCAGAAAATCAACCTTGACACAGCACTACCATCCAATCTACATAGCCCATGCAAATTTCACCAACTGTATCAACAGTGTCCCATTTGCTCAAAAAAAATAGTTATATTTTTTAAAAGCTCGATTTTTAAATATTATGAGACAGGAAATATGCTCAATATTTTGTAATAACCTGTAAGGGAAATTATATATATATATATATATATATATATATATAAATAAAACATAGAACACATATATGTTATAACTTAGCCCATACATTTGTACTACATATGCCAAGCTTCTGTTTTATTGTTTTCTTTGCTGTTTTTCTCTTTGCTTCTAATATTAAGGTTTTATATTTTGAATAAATGATGCAGATCCAAAGTCTTCATATGGAAGAATTTCTTTATGATCTTTCTTTTATTTCCTTGTTAGGGCCCCACCTTAGTTATTTCTGCAATGGTTTCTCTTTATATGAAATTATTATATCAATTATATCAATCTATGGCATATGCTAAAATAAATTTCTTGGAGAGTTAAAAAAATCTGAATCATTTTGCTGTACACCTGAAACTAACACAACATTGTAAATCAGCTATACTTCAAATTTTTTTTACAATATATGAACAAAAAATAAATAAATATTCTGAGGCAGTTTGCAAGGTTAGAACACTTATATACAACAGTCTAATAAAGAAGAAAAGATAGAAGGTGGTAAATTAGGGGAGATGTCACAGATAACTCGGTAAGTCAGTCAGTTGTCAGTAAATGGGTAGTACAGGTTAAGCACTGAAATGGAGTTCAGTTGTTTAAAGACACGCAGGGCACAAAATTATTGAAGCAGCTAAAGTGATTCAAACTGAAAAGTGTAAACATATCCTTACATCATTAGAAGAGCACTAGTCTTGAGTGGGGAGGTGTTGGCAAGATGAGATGGTACTGGAACAGACCACCTCCCTGCATCCGCCTGTTTCACAAGCACACCTACATCTACCCACTCTAAAATTCTTCAGCTGAGTTCAGCACCTGCAATTGAATGGACATCAAGAATAGCCTTGTGCTGCCAAGTGGCATGGCCAGGGGTACCAGTCAGCCCCACTGGTTGCTGCAGCAAATATAAATTAGGAGCTGGCTGATACCTAGTCAGCCAGCTCCTAATTACACATAAAAGGATTCACAGATTACTTTGTACGTCATAGTATAAACACACTTAAGGAAATTAACACCCAGAATTAGCAAACCTTCATTCATACTTGTGAGGGTGGTGAGACTCCCACTGGTAATAGAAGTAAAGCAGTTAAGGACAGAAAAACACAAACAATGGGAGAGGGATCTTTTTGATCCTTAGTGAAACAGGACTGGAAAGGCAAAGAGGATGAAGTGATCTTATAGCTCTCATCGCTTTGATCAAGGAGAGTTAACTTGGAGAACATGATCTGAGCTGCCAAAGTGAGGTTATGCAACTCTTGGAAGCCTTTAAAACTCTCTAATGCACCAAAAATTCCAATTATTATTTATCTGAACATGACTATTTTAGAGGTATATATTCATAGGCCTAAATCTCTATGATAACTTGTTTTCGGTAGAGCTCAACTGTTATTCTTCCAACACAGTTGAAATGAAGCTTAGAGGTTGCATCAATGTCTATTACCACTCTTCTCTCCTTTTTGTAATTCTATAACAGGGAACATGATATTTGAAAGAATTTGAAAGGGTCCAATTTGAACAACAGTAATTTAGCAAGGTAATTTTATCATGGAGTCAGTTGTTTAATTATTTGTCATCAGTCAGACAATTAATATTGAAATCTAAACTTTTGAAGAATATAACCTCTAAGGTAAGCCAGATATTGTATGATTCTCTGCTGTTAAGAAAAAAACACCCAGATATAAACTTTACTGCTTAATAGTTTTCTAAATGGGGAAGTTTAGAAAATTTCTTATCTCAGTTAGGGACTTCCCTGGTGGTCCAGTGGTAAAGAATCCACCTTCCAATGCAGGGGACGAGGGTTTGATCCCTGGTCGGGGAACTAAGATTCCCACATGCTGTAGGGCAACTAAGCCCACGCACCACAACTACTGAGCCTGTGTACCTTAACCAGAGAGCCCACGTGCCACAAACCACAGAGCCCACGCACTTTGGAACCTGCACGCTACAACTAGAGAGAAGTTCAAGCACTGCAAGTAGAGAGGAGCCCGCGTGATGCAATGAAGAGCCCACGCACTGCAACAAAAGATCTTGCATGCCACAACTAAGACCTGACACAGCCAAAAATATAAAATAAAATAAATAAAAAAAGAAAATTTCATATCTCAATTAGCTCACTATAGTAATACAGGTTTGTTTTTTTTTACAGGGAAACCTTATAAACATAAAAATATTGAATACAGTTTTATTTTCATGCATTTCATGTGGAAATTCTATAATATCAAAAATTGAAATTATGATTCCTGTAAATACCAAAACCATTAGCAATAATATGGACCAAATAAAGACTATCTTAAGAATGTTTAATCTCATATAAAAGGGAGTGAAAGTAGATGCACTTTTGCTGGCCTGTAATTTGATGTTAAATCTAATCATAAATGCTTAAAATTTATAAATTCAAAAAGCTTCAACTTATAAATTTGAATAATATTAGTGTACATATTTTCTGTTTTTATGATTAAAATGAAAATTCTCAATAGGTACCCCTGTTAGTGCAAATCTAAGAAGCTCTAGGTAAAATAAGAATATATATATATATCTTTTCATATTCTTTTCCATTATGGTTTATCACAAGATATTGCATATAGTTCCCTGTGCTCTACAGTAGAACCTTGTTGTTTATCTATTTTATATATAGTAGTTTGAATCTGCTAATTCCAAACTCCTAATTTATCCCCTCCTCCTTTCCCCTTTGGTAACCATAAATTTGTTTTCTACGTCTGTGAGTCTGTTTCTGTTTTGTAAATAAGTTCATTTGTGTCATATTTTAGATTCCTCATGTAAGTGGTATCATATGGTGTTTGTCTTTGTCTGCTTACTTCACTTTGTATGATCATCTCTAGGCCCATCCATGTTGCTGCAAATGGCATGTTACATGCAAAATCATTCAAGTTTACCTGCCTCTCCTGAATTACTCGACTCCCATCGCTCTTTAACCTCCTATCCCAAATCTCATCTGTCGACCAGGGAAGTTAGTTAACATCTTGGACCCACCCATCCACTGTCTCTTTCTGTTCTCCTATTGACTTGTCTCTGTGCCCCTTCTCTTGGAAGGCATCACCGTAGTGCAGTGGTGAAGCTTAAGTGCTGGTTTTAGATTCTCCGTGATGAGAGTCTGGCTCCACCCGTTGGCAAATGTGTGACCTTCGCAAGTTCTTTAGCCACTGTTTCTTATCTGTAAGAGGGCAATGATAAAAGTTCCTACCTGACAGAGCTGTTACAAAGATGAAACGGGCTAGAATATGTAAAGTACTCAACACAGAGTCTCTGGTACATAATAGACACCCAATGAATGTTAGCTATTATTACTACTGTAGCCTGGTTTTCTGCTTTATTTTGCATTCATAAATCTAACCTGTATAGCCTGAGACATTTTTGAAAATACATACCTGGTCAATACTTCTAAGATTAAAATCCTTAGAGACTTTGCAGAGAAATTGTTTCTTAAAATGATACACTTTCTCTTGATGAGACTCTTAGTTATCTTTCCAGTCTTAACTCCTGTCCATTTTCTAAACTCATCCTTCACTCCAGAAATATCAAATTATGTGTAATTCCCCAAGTTTTAGCCCCTTCCATGCTCTCGAATCATTCTAATCTTGTTCTTTATTATAGACACTTTGGGAAATACAGACGATGCATAAAGATAAATTACCCATCATTCTAATGCTAGAAATACTTTAATATATTTTCTTTTAGAGAAAAAAATAAATTAATATTTCCTATCTTTGCTTTTTATTCTGTCCTTTTCATTTAACATTGATTTAAATTCTTTAAAACTAGGATGTTAATGGCTATGCAATATTCATACATATATATAATATTTTCAATAATCTTTTAAAGTATAGCCTTTTACTTATTTTTGAAAGGGAAGATTGGTGGGTAGACTGTGATCTTGTGAATATTTGTATAAATAATTATGTAATTAATGTTCCAAAAATAGCATGACTGTGGAAATCTTCCACTACCGTTGTATTTCTGTCAATTTCTATTTATATTTTTTACAAAGTTTTGCTTTAAGTATACAGTATTTCCTTGGTTGGAGATTTGCTTGTGTAAGTTTATCTCTGGTGATGGTTTTTTGTTGTTCTGTCTTTTGT